CTCCCTTTTCTTTTTGGTTCAGATCTGGTTCGATTATGGTTCAAGTAGGATCCTTGAATATTGTATTCTAAATTTAGGGAATACGATTCCCAATTGGGAGAAGGTAGGAAAATTTTTGAAATTCGCCCACCCATTCCGCAACCTTTATGGCATCCATTAGATGGATCCTACCATTCTTTCATGCACCTGTTGGGTCGGCCTCTAGGTGATTCGGCCAATTCTTAGAAACAGTCATGGAGGGGGGTGCGGGGGTAATTGGGTGGAGGAACCACCGCCACGGGTTGGGGGGAGGTCTCCTATAAGTACCCAGATGAGGCAAAGATGCCCCGGGCCGACGGGGAAGACCGATGGTGGGAAACAATGCTTTTGCAGAACTACCCACCATTTCTCACTGTCGGCCCGGGCCATCAGGCCGATTGGCGATCGGAAGGTGTTGGCCTGCTCGGTGGGTGAGTAGCAGTAGGGGGGTTTGGTGGCCATCACACCCCTCTGCACCTTTCGGATCGGCCTCTGTGCACTTCGACCAATTCATAGAAACGGTCCCAGGGAGAGGGAGCGGGGGTAGTTGAGCGGCAAAACCTCATGCACAGGGTGGGGAGAGGTCCCCTATAAGTGCCCAGATGAGTTGGAGACACCCCACGCCAATGGGGAAGGCCGACGATGAGAAATAGTGCTTTGTAACAGATTGCCCCTTGGTTGTTGGGCTGCAACTCGTATTGCCATAGCCTTTACACTCGAGTGTCCATTGGTCATCCACCTTCATGGGCAGCCAAGTCATGGGTAAATCACTAAATAGGTCTGGCCTATACTCCAACCTATGGTGATGTTTGTCGATGGGTCACCCACTGACCGATTGACATGCATCACACTATAGTGTTCATGCTTTGCAATGGATTGCCCCTTAGTCGTTGGGATGCAACTCATACCGCCATAGCTTTTACACTCGAGTGTCCATCGGTCATCGACCTGCATGGGCGGCCAAGTCATGGGTAAATCACTAAATAGGTCTGGCCTATACTCTAGCCTATGGTGATGTCTGTCGACGAGTCACCCACTAACTGACTGACAAACATCACGCTATAGTGCTCCTGCCTTGCAACGAATTGCCCCTTGGTAATTGGGCTGCAACTCGTACCACCATAGCCTTTACACTCGAGTGTCCATCAATCATCGACTTGCATGGGTGGCCAAGTCATGGGTAAATCACTAAATAGGTCTGGCCTATACTCCAACCTATGGTCATGTCTATCGACGGGTCACCCATTGACTGATTGACATAAATCACGCTATAGTGCTCGAAATACCCCCTAATCCTTCTATTTAAACCCCATCCCCATCTGAAGCAGTTACCTGATAAGCACCAACCCCCACCACCAAGGTTGTTGGCAGTCCACCTATCAGTTAGCTAATACACGATATTCTATTCGTTCTTCTTACAAACGTTTTCTCCCCCATTTTCTATTTGCACTAGTAGTTATGATTGGTGATCTATATCTTTTTTGCAGGTGTGTCTTCCATTCACAAACACATATGGACTCCGGGGTAGATAATTCAATCTTATGCATTTGCAGCTTCAACGGCGAATCAGTTGGCATCACTGCAGATGAGACCACAGAATTTGATTCATTCATGTTGGACATTTGTAGTAGTTTTGGGATCAACCCACGTGATGCGAAGATATATTACATGATCCAGTGCGAGGAGAAACGCACCCTCAAACTTTGTAACCAAAATGACATACAGACATTTATCCGGTTCAACACCAAAACTTTGGACATTACAGTCTCGTTGAATGAACAAATGGGGGACGTGGGCTGCTAGAATGATTATGGAGAACTTGACTCTGATGACAACGACCAAAGCATGCATACGCATATTGGCTCAAATGGTATGTCTGACAGTGGTAGCATGGTAGCAACAATGTGGCTTGGTCTTATAACCAGAGTTGGGCAAGTGTTCGAAAATGCGATTGCATTTTGGACTGCCATGTCTAAATACTCTATAGCCCATAGATTTTCCTATATATATAAGTGGAACGACAAGACACGCATTCATGCACAATGCAATATGGGCAACTGCCGGTGGGAAATTCGAACTAGTGCATTGGGTGGTGGGCTTATGGTCCGAGTGCATACGTACCAACCTCAACGCTCACACACCGTAGTTGCATCATCCTTTGTAGTTCTTCCTAGGTCGAATAAGTTTGTAGGAAATCTTCTTGTTGAGAAGATACGAGACAGTCTATCATATAGGGCAATAGGCATCATGAAGGACTTCAAACGTGACTACACGTTGCAGTTAACGTATCAACTAGCTTGGAAGGAGAAAGAGGTTGCAAAGGTTCCAATCAATGACAATGATGATGACTCATACTCACGTATTCCATGGTTCTATGAGAAGATTCTCGAGTCCAATCCAGGTTTGTATGTCACTTATAGTATCGATGAAGATGGTCATTTCATGCGACTCTTCTTAGCATTCCATGCATCTATCCATGGATTTCACTATGGGTGCCGACCACTACTATTTGTTGACGGGGCACACTTAAATGGGAAATATCAGGGGAAGCTTTTGGCCACCACCACAATAGATGCCAACAATGGAATGTTCCCCATCACATTTTTCATCGTCCCCGCAGAGTGCCTTGAGGATTCCACTTGGTTTATGGGACATCTTAAAGCAGTAATAAATGATGATAGAGATGTTGTGATTGTTTTGGATAGGGGAAATAGCTTGCTGGATGCGGTCCAGTGGATTTTTCAACCTGATCTACATGCCTTCTGTTGTCGACATCTCATGGAGAATCTAAAATCATTTGTGACACGGATTCGTTTATCGAAGGAGTTGCGTGATGCAATAATGTCTATAATGTTCAAACTCTTCTATGCAAGATCTACCGACAAGTATGAGGCACTAATGGGGAGGCTTTTTATATTGAATGAACGCATTGAAAGCAGGGTAAGGTCCACTGAACCTGAGCATTGGGCGAACTCCAAGCTCCCAGGAATGCGGTACGACCAAATGTTGTCCAACATTGCAAAGATGTTTAATGGATGGGTGTCAAACATTTGTGATCGGCCTATAATGACCATGTTGAACACATTTCAGTTGAAATTGATGGAACTCCTTTGGAGAAGACATTGCGAATCCCAGGACTGCACAACAATGATAGGGAAAAGGACAAAAGAGAAGTTGCATGTGACAATTCACAATAGCATCCAGTTCCAGGTTGTCTATGCATCTATTCATGAGTTTGAGGTCACAAAGGGGGAAAGGCAGTATACCGCCCAATTGGACCAATAGATGTGATAATGCAAGGAGTGGCAAATGAGTGGCCTCCCATGTGCACATGCATGCGCGGCCATATCGTACACGGGGTGAAATGTGTATGAATTTGTTGACCCGTACTACACGATTGAAAAACAAAGGGTCATATACTCTCAGCCGATACACTCTATGTCGTCTGATGAGTTGCATCCCACAGCCATGTCATCGGCTGTGAGTGCAGACATCGGTACTTCATCATCTGCTACATTGCGCCCACTGAAGACAAAATGACCACTTTGCCAACACCGGACCAAACAAAATGAGTCACAGCCTGTTGAGAAAAGGGAAGTTCATTGCGGATGGTATGGTAACACAGGACATTATAGGAGCACGTGCAAGGCACCCATTGAGTAGGGGTATCATCTCTATTGCACCCCACCCTCGCACAATCTTCGCTTTGATTTATGTTTAGTACCTATTTGGAAATTTTAATGTTAGTAGTGTTAGACAGTTTTGTATGCCCTTAGCTTCAATCAGAATGATGTACTTTATGAGTTTATTGTAAATGAATAAAGATACATATTTGATTCA